GGTAACATTTTATAGGGGTGACGATTAGGAACAAAAGGTCTAAAAGTGTTCCTTGGCGGGGGTGGGGAGGGATGACAGTTTTAAATGAGCTTGTGAAAAGCTGTGAGAAATTAAACACTACAGTGTTTATCTTGCGGGGCTTCTCGGCAGCATTCAATGCTTTTGACCACTCCCTCCTTTTCAAAACTCCTTCTGCCCTCTGTTTTCGGGATGTCACACTCCCTGATTTCCCGAATAACCCTTTGGCCACCTCCTCGCTGCTCTCTTCCCGGCCCCTCCTCTACTCAGCCCTGAAAATTGGAGGTGCTCAGGGATCTGCTCTTTTCCCATTGAAACACACTTTGCGGGCGATACGATCCATCTTCTCGATGGTGATTTCCAAATTTTTATCTCTGACGGAGTTTTTTGTTTGTTTTGTTCGTTTTTGTTTTTTTTTGTTTGTTTGTTTTTTTGAGCTTTGGACTCCCACATCCACCTGCCCACTAGATATGTCTCTTTACATTGCCGAGACATCTCATGCTTGACATGTTCAAAATGGAGCTCTTACTTTTTTCTCCTAAACTTGCTTCTCTCAAAGTCTCCCGCATCTCAGTAAGTGGCAGCATCCTCAGGAGTCATCGGGACCCCTTCCATCCCACTGATCACCAGGTCCCACTTTTTCCTTCCTTCCTTCTTCCTTTCCTCCCTCCTTCTCTCTTGTCTTTTCTTTCTTTCTTGCCTCCTACAGTCCATTTTTAATACGGCAGCCAGGATATTCTTTCTAAAGCATAAATCACATCTGGTCACTGCCCTCTTTACGACCTTCCAATAGTTTTTCGTTGTCCTAAAAATAAAACCCAAGCCCCTGACTATGGTCCGAAGGGCCCTATATAATCCGTTCCCAGCCTACTTCTTTGTCTTCGTGGCATAGAACTTCCTCCTTTACTCACGAGGCTCCTATCACACAAGGCTTCTTTCTGCTCCTCGGTTCCCAGGTTACGGCCTGTGCACTTACAGTCCGTCTGGTCCGCCTGGATGCTCCTGCTCCCAGAACTTGACAGGTTTTGTTACTCCACATTTAGGTCTCAGCTTAAGCATCATCATCTCAGAGATTCCTCGGCCATCCACCCAAACTGAAGTAATCTCCTCCCTGTGCCACTTTCCATCACGTCGCTCCGTTTTCTTTTCCTTCTTCATCCTTCCGAATGAAGATGCTCTCTCACCTGACCCTGTTGCCATGGCAGCACTGCATTGGTCCAGAATGGACCCCTGACCCAGCTGGACCAGAGCCCTTCCTGGAACTTCTAGAACTGAAATCGGGAAATAGAGTCTTCTTTAATGACAGGCGTTGTCTGCTCTAAAATTCAGCAACTGCTAGTGGCTGTGTTTTCAGACACGTGGAGGAAATGAATCTATAAGAATAAATGACACTCGCATAATGAGGGGGAGAAAAGAAAGTTATTTTTGAAAGTGTTCTTTGGTTCTAGTTTTTCTAAGGTCTAAATTACATTCTGGATGCTTATAGAGTTAGTTGAGAAACTTTTACATCAATATTTTCTTCGAAAAATTAAAAAAGGCTGGAGCGTTGATCGATTTAACTTGTTCTTTCTTGTGTCTAACGCTATACTCAGATGTAGATGCTTAATATGTGCTTTTGTTGATGAAGGCGATGAAGATCCCACCCGCGGAATGGGAGCTTAGACCCTTCCCATTTAAAGCACACTTTGATACCGAGTGAGAAAACTGAATCAAACGCTGTAGAGACAGGAAGCGATCAGCTCTGAGAAGACTCACATGGGCTTTTACGGGAACAGAGCGCCATGTACTAAATCCACTTGCGCACTACAAAAAGCACACGGTCAGAGGCAAGACGGAGCAAGACAGTAAATGTTTTAAAATGACTGCCTCCCCTCCCTTTATTATGAAGGTCCATTTCAACTTGAAGAGAAAACAACCCAATTAAACACAGTCTAATTCAATATAATTATGCACTGCAAGAGACACAGAGAGGAATAAATCAGAGACTCGGCCATTAAGGTATTTATTAAAGGACAGATGTTTTTAAGTGCATGAAATGAATGACTAAAATACAAGGTAATTGTCATGTTTCTGTGTAAGTTACAAATAAAGTGCAAGGGTGCCAGGGATGGAGTAGGAGTTCGTGGCAAAGAAAGGTCACGTTCACTTGCAAGAACTAGGAAAGGGTTCACGACTAAGTAAGGCTGTATCTTGAAGGATGGGTAGAACTGCAAAGGTCAGAGATGGCACGAGGAAGCGCCCAGCCTTTGAGAACGGGACAAAGGCATATTAGGCCATGGTATGAAGGACAACGTTGAGCTAAAGAAGGTCTGAACTCATGGGGTTGGCAATGGAACAAAGGAATGTCTGTCTACCGCCACTGCCATTCCCAGGAATCGCTCAGCGTGGTGTGTTCGGTTTCAGAACTTCTAAGTTCAACGTGACAGTAGACTATCCCCCTAGGCTGGCCAGAAGGCAGGTGAAAGGTGGGGCTGGCGTTTGGGAGGCATGTAAAGACGTGAGATGTTAAATTCTGACTGTAAATAAGACATTTTATGAAAAGAAGCATGCATGTTATTTGTGCATTGTTTGGAACATGTACCAATGCGGGTCATAGACTCTACAGTGTCACTGGAGATCATCGTGGAGCAAAGAGACATGTGACATCAGTATGACCTGAGGATGAAGATCAAACTGAAAAAAAAAACAGCTCCATGTCCCTGATATGTTCAATTCATTCCAATAACAATTCAGTCTGAAACCTCAGCCTTTGATCCGGGGGAAGTCCATTCTAAAAACAGGTTCTGAATAGCGACAGGTGCCACGAATCCTCCCTTGCCCATCGCTTTGGCCTGCAGGCCACTCCTTACCTTTCATAATTGAACCTCTGGCTGCTGCTCTTCCCTTTCCTCACGGAAGCATGGCACGGGCCCCGCAGGTAAGACCAGGTTCTAGCTTGGGAATAACAGAAGGAAATTACCGCACAGAAAAGAAAAATCTAAAATTGGGGATTAGATATTATCGCGCCTCACATATTGGCTGAGCTCCCGGTAAGGGCCTAGTGACCATCTCTTCCTTAGCTGGCCATCCTCGTGCTATGTGAAGGGCCTGCTTATGTCACACCGCCATATTCCCCCCACCTGGAGTCTAGACCCCTAACTCTCACTCTAGCTTCAGATAGAAAAGCAGGCTTTTTTTCTCCTTTTCCAAGATCAACTTCCTTTCCTGCTCCAGGAAATCAGTAAGAACACTGCTAATTAGTTTCACTATAGTAATCATTTCACTATGTGTATGTATATGCCACAAAACATGCCATGCATCTTAAATCTGTACGATTTTTATTTAAAAAAAAACAACAACACTTGATTTCTTCAGGGAGAATTCTTACCTTCATCCACAGAATGGATCGAATTGAAACAGTAGTCCAAAGTATGTTTTAAGAAGTCTGGGACCTTCAGTGTTTGGGAATGTCATATGCAGGTGGAGCAGAAGATGGGTTTTGAGCGGGGGGTAGGGGACACAGGCAGCGCAGGACCACGCCCAGCTGCATGCTTCTTCATAGCTTTTCCTCCAGTGCGGTGATTGGGTTTCTCAAGATCTATGAGTAAATACTTGGACAAAAAGATAGATCCCTTAAGAAACACAAAATATACTTTTCAGGAAGGGTCTATGCTAAATCCATATTTAGGAAAATAGTTGTATTCTTTATGCAAAGGAAACAGTCCTGCTAGAGAATTACCCAATTTACATGGCTGAATAAAAACATATAACATCTCATTGACGAAAGCTTACCTTGTTGCACACGTACTGTAAGCTAGGGCCTTTGTATCTCTGTTTCTCAAAGACAGGAACTGAGGCTCTGAGGACACAACGCTAATGAATTGCGAAGCAGGATTCGAACCCAGGCCCACCTAACCGGTCAGTGTATTTAAACACTAAATGAGACTTAATGTCGTAGGTAAAAACTTCATTTAAACAAGTGGCAAAGTCACTATTTTCTCTAAGGAAATTTTTATGAGAACACTTTTGAGGGCTTTTCATAAAATGGTATCATTGTCATCATCTGTACATGGATCTTTTTGACACAAACACGCTTCCTCATTAATTCGACAAATATTTCCTGTGCATCACAATGCAGGCATCCTAGGTGTTATGGAAGAGGCAAATATGACTTCCTGTAGGAATTTATAATCTGGCAAGAGAGAGGAAATAAAAGACAAGACAGAATTTGCTGACTACCACAGGAAACGTGTAATGGGAGGTTAGTAGTGGGAGAGATGTTTTGGGGAGTAAAAAGCTTTAGTGGGAACGGTAGCAACTGGAAAATGTAAAATAAATACAAATAGAAATTAAAATAAAACAGAAAAATCAAACATAGGCATCTAAGTAAGAGGGTTAAGACAAAATGAGGGATTATTGTCAAGATATTGGGATTCTTCCAGCCGACCCCTTTCCGACCTTAAAATGATTAACAAATTAGTTCCCATGGATTTAGATCCACTGCTGTAATCATGGCTAAAAATTGCTGTTCTTATAGGCAGGGGTGCAGAAGGTCACGCTCAAAATAATGTCCCCTCTGAATGGATGGGAAGCATTTGGGGGGTCATTTGTCACAAGAGTAACAGTTTTTACGATCAGCGTGGACGCTCGTCAGCGATTCACTTTTATTGATGTTTGTAACGTGCGTCAGTATGTTATCAGATAGTGGACGACAATAATACACCAAGTGATAGTCCATGAGCTGTTTACAAACGTGTAGACTTTTTTTGATAATGATAATGTCCTTTATAATCGGGGATTCGGAAGTGGCGCAAAATGTGATCCTAACCCAAACTAGCCTCCCTCGCATGTGAAAAAAAAAAAAATTGCCCAAGTGATTGAAACTAATCTCGCCTTGGACTACAAATCCCATCACGCAACGCTCAGCCCGTTCCCACCGTACGGGGAGGAGTCGTGGGAGGGGTGGCAACGGCGGAGGCCGGTGCATTCTGGGCGTTGTAGTCTGGCGCCCTGGCCACCGTCGGGACGGTCCACGTGGTGCGTCCGGCGGCAGCTTGGGGCAGTGGCTACCCCGCTCCCTCCACGCGCTCCTCGGGGGGCCGGCCCCGGCGGGGGTGCGGACAGCCGCCGCGGAGCGGGCCGGACGGAGGGCCGGAGGGAGCGCGAGCCCTTCGCGACGCTTTTGCGACAGCCGCGGCCGTGTTTCGCCGAGTCTCCTCCCTCCTCCTCTCTCTGATGAGGTGCCGGCTGTTGTGCGGGGCTGCCTTTCTGTTTGAGTGTGTGGCAGAGTGAGTGAGTGAGTGTGGGAGAGAGGGCGAGGCGTGAGTGCGCGTTCGGG